TGAATGTTTGGCCCATAGAGAATGGCCCTCTTAGGAGATGTGGCCTTTTTTTGGAGGAAGTGTGTCACTGTGGATGTGGGCTTTGAAGTCTCACATATATTCAAGTCATGCCTAATATGGCAGTTCAGTTCCTGTTGCCTGTGTAGAATTCTTATCTCCTTTTGCAGTACCATGTCTGTCTGCACACCTCCATGTCCCACCATGGTGATAATGGACTAAAGCTCTGAAATTGTTATGAGTTGCCATGGTCATGGTGTCTCTTCACAGCAATAGAAATCCTAACTAGACACTGCTCTATTCATAATAGTCAGAAATTATAAAAAGCCTAGAAATCCCTCATCAGAAGAATGAATAAAGAAAATGTGGTAATATACAGTGGAGTATTACTCAGCTGTTAAAATTTTTTTTAAAAAAAGACACCACGAAATTTGCAGGCAAGTGGATGGAACTAGAGAAAGTCATCCTTAATGAGATAACCCAGACACAGAAGGATAAATAGGGTATGTATACACACACGCACGCACGCACGCACGCGCGCGCGCGCGCGCCATTAACTAAATGCCAAGCTACAAACTGTAGACCCAGAGAGATTAGGTATAGAGGAAGGGACTAGTGGGACACATAGATCTCCCTAGGAGGGGAAAATATAATAGATTTTATGGGTGAACTTGGGCAAAGGGATACTAGAATGGAGGATCAGGTGGGGAGTGGGAGGGGAAAGGGGGTTGAGGGAGAGAATACAGCAGAAGAGACAGATGGAAGTGTCTCATTTTAGGGATGGTATGGAAATCTAATGCAGTGGAATCTTCCTAAAATATCATGAGGTGATCCTAATGAAGTCTCTAAATAATAGGTGAGACTGAGTCCCAACTGGCAATCTCTTGTCAGTACTAGGACTGGGTTACATCCAATTGAGTTGTTGGACAAAGGAGTCTCATGGAAATCCCCAAACAACCCAGGTGTTGCCAAGACAATAGGTTACTCTCCACAAACTGATAGCAAGGATCTTTGCAGAAAATAACATGCAATTCGTTGAACACAGAGAGGTTGAGATGGTACCTACATAAAACCTTCACCCCTACATTCTAATGTCTTTGGTATGGGAAGCTCTGCAGGCTACCAAAAGAGAAGTGTAATCACCAACCCAGTCACAAACCCTTTGGTCTATAATGCTGCCCTGCCTGCAAAATATCTTAGGGAAATGTTAGCACAAAGCTTATGTGAGTAACCAATGTCTGATTTTACTTAAGGCCCACTCTGCAAGATGGAACCCATACCCAATACTACTTGCGTGATCAAGAACCAAAGACTAAATAGACAAGAGACCTAATATAAAACCAAATTATTTATATATATATATATATATATATATATATATATATATATATATATATAATCTCTTAGGTTCACGGAAATTGTAGATATCAGTAAATTTCCCTATTATTATTTCTGTTTACAAATTAATAGCAACAATTCATTATTTCTATCTGCTTTATAGTCTGCATTTTAATGCAAATTTATATGAGGTAAAATATACAAACATTCCATGCTTGATTACTATGCTAGGTTGTCTAACTAGCATATTTCTCACCAACCTGAGAACTTCACCAACAGCCCTCCACAGTCAGTAGGCACAAATCTATGGGTATAGCAGAATATCATTAGGAATCATTTCATTGACTTTTTTTTTTTGTCAGTCTTATTTGGTTCTATCCTAGATCTCTAGACTATCCAGTCTCTGGGTCCTGGACCTCTGGGCAGTGTCAGGATGGGCTCCCTCTTGTGGTGTGTGGGTCTCAAGGCAGACCAGTCATTGGCTGGCCACTCCCCCAAGTTTTGTGCCACCTTTACCTTATAGGCAGGACAAATTGTAGGCTGAAGGTTTAGTGACTGAGTTGGTGTCCCAATCCCTCCACTGGAAGTCTTTCCTAATTACAGGAGATGGCCAGTTCAGGGTCAGTACCTCCCATTGCTAGGAATCTTGGCTAGAGTTACCCTTTTAGATTCCTAGGAGTTTCCATTGCTCTGGGTTTCTAGCTCATGCCCAAAATGCCCCCCAATTCCAGCTGTCTCTCCAAATAATCTTTCCCTCCATCTTCCTCCAACCTGATCCCACGCTAGCCATCCACACATGGTATCTATTCTATTTCCCTTTCTCAAGATGATTCACGCATCCCCCCCCCACCTTGAACCCTGCTTATTACTCCTATTCTCTGGGTCTGTGAATTGTAACATGGTTATGCCTTACTTTACAGCTAATATTCACTTATATGTTAGTACATAACATTTTGTTTTTCTGAGTCTGGGTTAACTCACTCAGAATGATTTTTTTTCAAGTTACATCCATTTGCCTGCAAATTTCATGACACTCCATTGTGTAAATGTACCACATTTTTTTCCATGTTTTGGTTGAACGATATCTAGGTTGTTTCAGTGTGTGGCTATTATGAATAAAGCTGCTACAAACATAGGTTAGCAAGTGTTCTTGTGGTGTGATGGAGAATCCTTTGGGTATATGCCCAAGAGTGGTATCAGTGAATCTTGAGGCAGATCGATTTCTAATTTTTTGAGAAACAGTCATATAGATTACCAAAGTGATTGTACAAGTTTTCACTCCCACCAGCAATGGAGGAGTGTTCCCCTTGCTCCATGTCCTCTCCAACATGAGCTGTCTCTTGTGTTTTTAATCTTGGCCATTCTGAAAGGTGTATGATGGAATCTCAGAGTCATTTCGATTTGCATTTCCCTAACAACTAAGGATATTGAACATTTCTTTAAGTGCTTCTTGACTGTTTGATATTGTTCTATTGTAAATTCTCTGTTTAGATCTGTACCTCATTTTTAATTGGATTTTTTGGTTTGTTGATGTCTGGTTTTTTATGTTCTTTACATAGTTTGGAAATTAGCCCTTAGACCTAGAACATCTGACAGACTTTTCTGTGAAGAAAGAATTTTGAAGGACTGGCCTACTTTGTCTTGACAAAATTCATCAGGTACGCCGGGCGGTGGTGGCACACGCCTTTAACCCCAGCACTTGGGAGGCAGAGCCAGGCGGATCTCTGTGAGTTCAAGGCCAGCCTGGGCTACCAAGTGAGCTCCAGGAAAGGCGCAAAGCTACACAGAGAAACCCTGTCTCAAAAAAAAAAAAAAATTCATCAGGTGACTTCCTTTGTGCCCTGCTTGTCTCATTTGGACAGCATACTGTCAGCAACCATGGCAAGGGAAGTTGTTTCCCCAGTAGCTGGCTTTGTCACATTTGAAGCAAATTCCATATGGAAGTTTTTCATGCCCATCATCTTCTTTGAAGTAGATTGGTGCTGCCAGGAGCAGATACATCTCACTCTCAGGAAAAAAACTTATGTTATTAAAACATTTTAATGCCATATTCTGTAGATCTCTGAAGTGTTTGAAGATCGCTAATCTATCTAAAATATATCTTTGTTTAACCTTGAAAACATACCTAACATGACTATAGGTTTGATTGTTAAAGGTGACTAACTACTAACCTGCATTTCTTAATTATCCTAAACAGTTTGTAATAGTATCTTTCAAGGACAAGAACTTTACATTAAATTTTGAAATGAACTAGATAGGTACAATACCTTAAACAAGAGTATAAACATCTATACAGTATGTTCTAACAAAAATAACCTTAAATTTGTATCATTATAAAAAATCCATACCAATGTAAAATATTTGAGACTAGTAGTTGCTTTTTAGTTTAAAAGAAGATTCAGTAATTTACCCTTATATCCTATCATTTCTACATCCCCCCTTTTATTTTCACTATATAAGAGAGAAAGAAGGATAGAGGAAGGAAAAAGAAAGGAAGGAAGAATGAAAAAAATCCCTTAATCCAACCTCTATTGTTTAGTTTCCTCCCTGACCATGACCAATAACAACTTGCAACTAATCCCCTTAAATGACAACAAACATCCATAACCCACCAAATGACAAAAAAAACCACTGACCCCACCTCTTGGGAATGTGGGTATCATGTTCTTAAAATTATTTCCTGCTTTCTAGAGTGCAAAGTCATCTCTAAAGGACCCTGAGAAAATTTGAATAATGGTCAAGACCTGGGAGAGGCAGCTGTTTCATTTGTTGTGATGACAAAGTGTAGGGCTTATCTGAAGTCCTGGCTGGAGTAGTGTGTGAGGCTAGGCCACCTTAGCTAACCACTTTGAAGTTGTCCTGGAAGCAGATTTTTTAGGAAACAGCAATAAAGGCATTCTGTTAGGCTGTATCACCTGGGGTATTTGCATTATCTTCATTGTGTCTGGTCCTTTTGTCATGGAAACATGCAAACTTGTAAAGGTAACATACATATCTGCATTAACACAAGTATGGAATGTGCTGTGTGCACAAATCAGCTAAAGATGATTCTCTGCTCTATGTTTGAGCTGGAAAAAGACATCTGTCAATTTTATAAATCCATTTGGACTGCATAACCAATCCGTAATATAGACCGCCATCCATGTCATATGAAAAAATGGCACATAGTAAGTCATGGGGACTAGATTCTTTTCTTTTCTTTTTTCTCATTAATATAATAATTCTTGGTAACTAGGCAGTGAGACCAAGTCCTGTGCTCATTGCATGAGTTGGCTGTTTGAAACCTGGAGCTTATGCAGGGATGCTTGGCTCAGTCTGGGAGGAAGGGACTGGACCTGCCTGGACTGAGTCTACCAGGTTGATCGCAGTCCTCAGGGGAGGATTTGCCCTGGAGGAGGTAGGAATGGGGGTAGGCTGGGGGTAAGGGGAGGGAGTGGGAGGGGGGAGAATAGGGGAACCCGTGGCTGATATGTAGAACTGAATGGTACTGTAAAATAAAATTTAAAAAAATATATCCAAAAAAACCACAAAAATATATATAATAATTCTTTTCCACCAAAGCAACTACAGTCATGATAATAGTGTTCCAAAGCATTCTGATATGTCTATTAAAAGTATACATGTTTTAAAACCATGATCTATTTGCTGTAGGAAAGTGGTGAGACCAGGACACTTTAGGCAGTTAGATAATACTTTAATTGCTTTGTACACTAAATAATGGTCTTTTTGTGGAAATATCCAATTTCTCACTTTGTTGTCACTGCTCAATAGTTGTTCTTAAGTGTTCGGGGCCTTTTTACTTGGCAGGCAAGGCAAAATTTTGTTGACACTATATAGTACCTTCCTCAGGGCTGTCTGCATTTCTTTGTTTCTTAAGCTATAAACAATGGGGTTGAGCAGAGGAGTCAGTACTGTATATGTGACAGCCATCAGCATGTCCTCACGGAAAGAGTCACTGTTCTTGGGTATCAAGTAGACAAAGCAAGCAAATCCATAGTGCATAGACACAACTGTGAGGTGGGAGGAGCACGTTGAGAAGGCCTTATACCTCCCCTGTGCAGAAGGCATTCTTACAACTAGGGATACTATGAAGACATAAGAAATCATGATTAAAACAAAGCTGCCCACCAGAACAAATGTAGAGAGCATAAAGATAATCATTGCATGATGAACAGTGTAGTCACAAGCAAGATGGACCAAGGGTGAAATGTCACAGAAAAAGTGCTGGATATTATTGGAATCACAGAAAGACAAGTTGAATATGGTGAAGGTGATGCCGAAAGAACAGAGGAACCCAACCACACAAGCAGCCATCACAAGCTGAACACAGACCTTTGAGGTCATAAGGATATGATAGTGCAGTGGGCTGTGGATGGCAGTGTAACGGTCATAGGACATGGCAGCCATGATGAAACAATTGTTGGCAGCCAGTCCAAAGAAGAAAAACATCTGTGTGGCACACTCAGGGAGAGAAATAGTCTTGTTCTTTGATAACAAATCCACTAACATTCGCGGTAGGATCACCATAGTGGTGCAGGTTTCTGAAAAGGACAGGGCAAAAAGGAGAAAGTACATGGGGGTGTGAAGGTTGTGGTTGAGCTTGATGGCCACCATGATGGATGCATTTGCTAGGAGGATGGTCACATGGGAAAGGAGAATCACAACAAAGAGTAGATTCTGTAGTTCTGGGAAGCTGGAAAATCCCCATAGAAGGAACATGGTCACTGTGGTGTGATTGCCCATCCTCCAGGTGGCAATGATTTTTTTCTCCAGAGGTGAATATATGCTTGAGATCAAGACACTGAGATGATTGTGAGGAGCTTCTGCAGTGATGCCATCTGTTACTTAATCAAGACTACCAGAGTTAGTATAAAACAATTTAATAGAAGAACCTGTAAAAAGGGAAGTGAGGACAGTGAAATAAATCATTAGATAAAGGTACTTGTAGCTAAGTTTGATTACATGAGTCAATCTCAAGTACCCACATGTTGGAAGGAGAAAAATGACCATCAGACATGTAGCATGACATGTGTATACACACACACACACCACCACCACCACCACCACCACCACATATAAGCACATGCACAAAAAAAAATTTTTTAAAGGAAATGAATGTATGTATGTATGCACAAATGTGGACCTCCCTGAAATCAAGCCAGGAGCCTAATAGTTGAGGTTTGAAAGGACTCTAGTATCAGAATCTACATGAAACTCAAAGAGTCGTTCCAAATGTCTTCTTGAAATCTACTCACAAAGCATTCCTTAACACTTTTCTCCATTTGGGATCTACACTGAAGAAAACAGAGAATATAAATGTCTCAGTTGCTTGATGTTGATATGCCACAGTTTCCAAATATGTTCTTCATCAGATGATACCCTAGCCCTCCACATTGTTTACTAACCTAGTAATGAAATGCACACAGTAACTGAATAACTTGATTTCAAATTGACATGATTTTTCAAAATTCTGCAGAGACCAGTGAGAAATTCTGAAGAAACTTACACTTTTTTCAGTGTGGTCCTGGTCCTGTTACTATTTGTATTCTCCACCACCCAGTGATTCCAGGAATGATTTTTACATCTGTGACCAGATCAGATGAATAAATAAATTTAGCATGTATAACTTCCACATTCCTATCTTAGTATAGTAATTGAAGATAGAGAAATAGCAATATCCACATAAATAATAAAATTTATATTAGTACTTTATAGCATAGCATAATTTTTAAGTACCTAAAGAAGTTAAGGCTTCATCAAAGCTCTTGTCCAATGCAAACATGATACAATGAACACATTTGGGAGTATCAAAGCTCTGTCCACTGCATAGATGATGTAATGAACTCCCTTGGAGTTAATGTGATCTGAAAGACAGTCTCATTCCAGATTTGCAAATTTTTGTCACAGTGCTCTGATGAGATTTTGAATTTTTAGCAGAACGCCCAGCACCTTTTCTAGCTGGTGAGGTTAAACATTTCTCTTTGCAGTGCAGGCATGAAAAGATCCAACTGAAGTTTCTCACACCAATCTCCCACAGTCATATTTCTGTCTTGTCTGTTCCTTTGGGGTGTAATCTATGAAGAAAACATGACAGGAAATTACCAGGAAGATTCTATACAGAATTTTTCTTTTTAACCTCAGCTACTATTAAAGGTGAAGGGCAAAAACTATAAGAAAGTTAGGTAGAAAATAAAGACATGGAAGAGAAACAGAAAGATGCTAGCTAGAAATTATTCAGTAAGATTCACAATGATTAAATTAAAATGATGAAAGACAAAACTATATTCTTATTTGAAGAGTTGCTATTTCCTATTTGCATTGTGTATTTAGGTGCAGAAAATAATAGCATCCAAGCCAGAAAATGGGCACAAATTTCATACTTATAATATGTCACAAATGTGTTGGGGTCAGATAGTACTATCTCATAGAATCCTCACAAATCTGTGGTGGGGTTGGCATTTAGATTTACAGAAGAGATTTAGGTGCAGAATGTTTATGTATCTATAAAGGTCATTAATTCATTCAACATATATTAATTAAATGCTCATGATGTTCCAGACACTTAAAATTGAATAAGAAATACATTGTGGAGTTCTGTGATATGGCAGTGCATGTGGCTATTTAATCTATCAGGGAAGCTCTCTCTGAGGACGTGACATTCTAAGATGCAGAGTAGAAGGGCAAACTGCATGGAACATGTGAGGACTAGTGAAGAGAACACCAGTGGCGTCGGGAACAGTCAATACACAGAGCAACAGATCTACGTATGCAGCTTTTACTCAGACTGTTAGAGGTGGCCTTCAAGTTCATCCCACATAGACTCTTTCTCTGAAGGTTTCCTCGTTAATTTACTTCTAAAGGAAAATATTTTTTTTCTGTTCTTACTGATTGAGCTACAGTTTACTCTATATGATGCCCCTGTTTGAGTGCTTATAAAAATGCTGTTTGCTGGGTTTTGGGTGCACATGCTTGTAATCCTAGCACTTGGGAGGAGACAGGCCAATCAGAAGTTCAAGGGCAGCCTTGGCTATATAGTAAATCCAAAGCCAGGATGGACTAAACAAAACACTGTTTCAAAAACAAACAATCATATTGTAACTTCTTCTTGTACAACTTTAGTGTCACAATCCTTTCAAGTAATGAACAAAAGGTTTTTTTCTTTCACACCTTTCATCCTGGTAAGTGCCTTAAATAATTACAGGGCTCAGAACTCTGCTGACATTTTGGTCTCTATGTGAACCCCTCTGGTCTGCTATTCCCCAGTGTCTATCACACAGAATGAATACAGGGGCCTCCTCTTCCCACTCCTGTGGTGTACATGTTTATAGCTTTTTTAAGTGTTATATTTGTGTCCATGCTGTGTCTTCATTATAGTTGCTTTTTTGATCCTCATTGCTTACAAGGGAGGTGGTGCTAATAACTTCCAGTTCCTAATGTTTTAGTTAATACCTCTTATGTCCTAAAAAGTGCTCTAAGAATAGCTACTACACTTACCTTGTTTGTGATGAGGAAACTACAGTTCAGAGGGGTGTTTGATTTGTCAAAGTTGATACAGTTCGTATGTCTATCTGGATGGCACATTATAGAAAGGTATTGAGAGAACGGAGAATGGTTTACTTGCCGCGCTGCCTACAAAGCCTCCTCCCCAAACACACATGCTCTAGCATGAGTTTGAGGTCTCACCAATCGATCTTCATTTGTTGTCAGCCACATAAGAGTAACATGCACTATTTCTAAAATGCAGCACATTCTTTCTTGACTCTTCTGCTTCACACACTTTTTTTCTGAATTAAAATGCATGTCTGTTTGCCCCTTTTTGCAAAAACAAAACAAACAAAAACAACTTTTTTGACAAGACAATTCGAATATCACTTACTTTTAGAAGCCTTAGTAAGTCGCCCTGGCTGGTAGTCTTTTTTTGTTTCCCACTTTTGGATTAATATAACTTTTATGGTGATGAGAACTTTTCCCCAAGAATGATTCCTCAAAAAGACAGAGGTTTGTGTTAACTTTCATGTGCCCCAACTTTCAGCCTAAATTGAGTGAATGTGTTTTTTGAGTACTGTTTTTTAATTTCTGTAGAAAAATATGGAAGTCCCAAAGTGTGAAGAAAGCCCTCCACATGTGCTAATTCAGTTCACTTATTAATTCCTCCTCAATTACATTATTTGATCCATTTGCCTGTATTTAAATGTGCACTGAAACAGTTTGCTGCCCTCTTAACGGATTTTAAAAATCATGTGGTAAACATGAAGTCATGAGGAGAGGTGCTTTATAAATGCTTGCTTAATTAAATTAATGAATGTGTGACAATAAAAGCAGTCAGATGACTCTTAAAATTCCAACTGTGTAACTGAGCATCCAGGAGAAAGATGCTATCATTATTTCTTATTTGAGAGATTTCTGTATTTGATGTAGTATCAATTCTCACTCAAGCTATAAATGATCTTCCTTCAGGCATTTTAGAATTGCTAGAAGAGATTATCAAAGCACTACACCCCCACTGCCCTTCTAATCCATACCAGGTTATATGTAGCTTGACAATGTTTCTCAGAGACTTTAGTTGATAGTTTTAATTAATTGATCTGGTTACGATGGTTCTTGTATATGTCAGTGGTAGCTTTTGATATCCTCATGTTATCCAGGTGTAGCTGACTGGGAATATAACTATATAATATTATTTCCATTCTTACCAATGACTCTGACAGCCACTGAGGAAAAAGATACCTGTAACACTGGATCTATTATCATCTTTGTTTTACCCAGACCTAATCCTCTTTATACATACCTCTTTCTTTTGCTTTGATATTTATACTCCTGTTTATTTCACATCATCAAAACTTTCTACACATGGTTTTCTGCTCTACAAAAAATAAAGAACTTGTAGTATTGTTAACTTCCAGCTTGTCTGTGCATATAATTTCTTTGGTACTTCCTAACAGGCTATAAACCCCCACAAGCACTTGATCATTAGAACAATATTCTTTAAGAGCAAAATTGCTCTGAAAATGCCACCTTGTAACAAAGAAGACTCACTTTCCATTCTTTAAAAATAATGAAGTAAGTAAGCTGCAAGGAAAATTTAGTCTCACAACATAGGTGCGACTTTTAGCAGGTCTTGTGGTTTTATATATCATAACTCAGGGTAAGTTTCAAGTATATCCTCTTTCAGATGCAGGGAATGAATCCCTTATGAATTTACACTCCATAAAGGGCAGTTCTGTGTTCATTTGTTGTTGATGGAGCTCACTACAATAAACTTTTTAATGAGAGTCCTGAGGACACAGGGGACCATCATCTTGAGATTCTTGCTTCTAGATGCAAGCAGAGTTGTACTCAGCATCATATGATGTGATGCCCATAAAAATTGCTTTTCATCTTCAACACCATGGGGAGTTTTCAGTTATATTTCTGTGGTTCTTCTGAATAACAACAGAAGTAATTTAAATTTAATCTAGTGAAAGTGTATCTTGAAATGTATGTAATTCCCACAGGCATAGTTTGCTTCTTACATGATACCATTTGCTCTAACTTTAAAATTCTGAAAATTTGCCAAGTCTCTTCCATCCTATTCACAGGACATGGGACTGAGGTGCCATGAGAAGTAATTGCCTGGGGAAGCAAAAGGATCATGCATAAAGAAACACCATACAGTGTGATCACTGTGATTGTTTCTCATGGGAGTGACTTTGCTGAAGAGAAAGCTCACCCTTACCCCAGTCCCCAGTAATGGCACTCTATCCTTAGTGCCCAGCAGA